CGTCTCTCTCCCCTGGGGCGCGCGTCTGCTCACGTCTCTCTCCCCTGGGGCGCGCGTCTGCTCACGTCTCGCTCCCCTGGGGCGCGCGTGGGCTCACGTCTCGCTCCCCTGGGGCGCGCGTCTGCTCACGTCTCGCTCCCCTGGGGCGCACGTCTGCTCGCGTCTCGCTTCCCTGGGGCGCGCGTCTGCTCGCGTCTCGCTCCCCTGGGGCGCGCGTCTGCTCACGTCTCGCTCCCCTGGGGCGCGCGTGGGCTCACGTCTCGCTCCCCTGGGGCGCGCGTGGGCTCGCGTCTCGCTCCCCTGGGGCGTGCGTAGGCTCACGTCTCGCTCCCCTGGGGCGCGTGTCTGCTCACGTCTCGCTCCCCTGGGGCGCGCGTCGGCTCACGTCTCGCTCCCCTGGGGCGCGCGTGAGCTCGCATGAGAGGCGGTAGGAGGGAAAACATCGATCTGCGTTCCCTAAGTTTAGTTAAGAGAAGTTTAAGTTTATGACTTTCACATGAAAACATTAGTTTAAGTAACAAGATGTGTGGATAATGTGTGGGATATGGTGCAAGATAAAATGGGGGTTGGGCAGGGCACATTTACATTTTCACCATTGAGGATGGAATCCGAAACATTACATTTCCTGGTAACGAACATCACAAATATACTTCGAGTCTGTCAGAGAAATGGTAAACCCTGTTTCAGTTCCTCAGCCAAACCTTAACACTAACAGACATTGCTTCCTCAGCCAAACCCTAACACTAACAGGCTTTGGGTTGTTTGGTGATCATGCACATCTTTTAACTTTGGCTTTCGCGTTCTCCAGAGTTGATGAGAGAATAGTGCAGGAGCTCTTGCTAGTATTTTGATATACAATGATGTAATCTGAGTGCAGAGAGGAGTGATTAAAGGCTTGCGACCAGTATCTGGCTATGATCATGTGCGTGTGTTGATTTAGTAAACTCTCCAGAGGTAGTTAGACATTGGTGAGGAAATTATTTCTAGCATTTAGATATACAGTTGACCTTGGTATATGATAACCACTCAAGAGAACCACCAGACTGCCCCCTATAAACATGTGGCTGTTCTACAGAGATAGGCAGATATTTTAAATGTTTTTCTACGTCATGGCAGGTGTTCGTGTTTGTTCATCGTAAGGCGGCCATCTTTGACACGACGATCTCGCGGCCAGCCTACAACACGGTGACTGAGGGCCTGTCGTACGAGCGGCACAGCTATGTGCTGCAGACGCCTACCGATGTCGAGCAGTACTGGTGCGACCTGCGCTGGTGCTGCCTCAATACCCCGCTCGGTGAGAGTGACACCACCTAGTGTGCTCGCTTCGTTTTTTACTCTTTATTTCTTTTTAGCTCATCTGACATAGTCGGATGCAGCTTGTAGAATCGCATGAGCGTGCGTCCGTCCGTGCGTCCGTGCGTCCGTCCGTCAACAGTTATGGCACACATCTTAACCGCTCGACGTACGGTCTTGATATTCGGGACGTCAGGGGGATCACGAAAAGGACTCGGGATGTCGAATTTTATGGGGTCAAGGGTCAAAGGTCAAGATGTGTCAATGGAGGGGGAATATTTCCCCCTTAACTTAAGGTATAGGAGGAAATACGGAATTGCGGCACAAATCTCAACGGCTCGACCTACGCTTTTAATATTCGATGTCGAGTGTGATGGGGAGGAAACCCTTCACCAGCGCGAAATTGGAGGTCAAAGGGCAGTGGGGGAAAGGTCAGATATCAGACATTTTCTGAGGACATGGTCCAACGGACCGAGTGAAAACTTTTTTGTTTCAGCGCTGACCTACCATTTTTATCACTTTATTGAAAGGACCATGAAATGTACTTTCCACAGATGTGCGAAGAGTAAGTGTCTGATAACCTTTTCATCCTCAAGTGGAGGGTTAAACATTGATTTGTTTACTGTTAAGAATGGATTAAACTGGGCTTGCTAGTAGAATCTGTACATGTCTGGATGTATGAGGCTACAATGTCACAGTGAAATTCCAAAAACTAAACTTAGTTTACGCTCCTTAAATCATAAAATTTGCGTGACCTGCATTCTGTACATGACAGTGCATGTGACTCTGTGCTGTGCAGTGGGGCCCTATGCACGCATTACCTGCATTAATTAGTCCCAGCTGGCATCATTTGTGACCTCCATTTCAGCCTGTAGGCTTGAGTATATAAATGGATCGAGTTAACCTTCTCTTCTGTCTTGCAAATTCGTTTTGCGATGGGAAGCTGGGGTGCTGCCATCTTTAATCTTGAGACACTTAATTGCACCTGCCATCATTAATCTTGAGACACTTAATTGCACCTGCCATCTTTAATCTTGAGACACTTAATTGCACCTGCCATCTTGTGGCAACTTGCATCAACAAACGCTCAACATCTTGATCTACTGCCGGCATAGCAAATGTCTAATGCACCCCACCCAATTCACGAAGGAACATTTATTGTCATAATTCAGTATATAGAAATATATGTATGCATGGCTTGTAGCAAACTATCTCCTATATATATATATTCATGTACAGAATCCATCTAACATAACTGGCAGAACGTGCGTTCACGTGCGAATTCACGTGCGTTGTATATACCGAGTGGGCTATGACCACTGTACATGCTGCGGCCACAGCGTACAGGCGCATATAAGATGTGAGGAACGAGTGATGCTTTCATAGGGGTGGCGGCTAGCCACACACGTGCACAGGCAGCGGCAGCTAAAAAGGGGGGAGACATGACATGAAATACGCGAGCGTAGCGATGGTGAGAAACAGTCGGAAACAGGCGAGTAGTGTCACTTTGTCGAAAATGACATAGGTCACACTCTGGCCACGCTCTCCATCTTTCAACCGATGCCCGGACGCATAACCTGGAGGCTAGGCGACCGGGGATGCGTTTCACGAAGCTCCGTTCCCTATTTTCTCTGCTATCTCATCCGCTAACTCCCGAGTTGTCTGCTAAATAGCGGAGGACGCTTTCACGAACCTCCGTTCGCTAAAGTTGCTCTCTATTTACCGCATTTTAGGGTGACAACTTTAGCGGGAGCTCTGCACGTCCCGCTAAGTTTAGCGGAGCACTCTATGGTGTATATAAAACCCATAAAAATACAAAATTCACACTAAACTACCATGAAACATGAGCTTTCGTAATAAAAAATAGTCTTGGCTGTTTGTTATGCATGTTATTGGGACAAAATATTTGTTTAAACACTGCACTAGGAGTATGACAAACGTTGTGTATTTAAATAGTTTACCATGTATTGCAATGGTTGTTGATGCCACCGATTTACGTGGGCCCTACGCGTGTAGTGTCTTTTTGTACTTTGTTTGCAAACTGGTTGTCAGGCGGTCAACCCCATTAGCACGCACCGCGTTAGTACGCACCAACTTGCGAGTAAGGCATGCGATGATACAGTAATTAGCACGTACTCGCCTAAAACACTTCACTACAATGAATAAGCAACCATTTCATGTAACTCTCATGGTCAACGCCATAACTGCGAGCACGAATGTGTAAGCGAGAATAATGGCAAACTTAATTCTATAAAACTTTAGATACAGAACACATCCGTAACCCGTTTGATACATACAAAGACACTAAAATCATCGCCAGATATAGATTGCCTAGGCATGTCGTTGCTCATCTAGTGGATCAACTTGAAGAAGAGCTCTCGCCCAGCACAATGAGATCTAGAGCCATATCTACCTCTTTACAAGTTTTGCGTCACTACGATTTTATGCAAATAGACGCATTCAGCAAACGACTTGCCATGCACTGGGTATACACGGCTACATACATACACGGCTACACGAACTCATGGCTATCAATACACGTGGCCTAGAAACCTCTTGAAAGTGCAGATAAGAGGGTGAGTTGTTTGTGTATATGATAGAACATAACCCAGCAACTGCACAACACGTTTGTAGTTATCTGCCAGCTGACTGCCAGCTCTCCTCCGCTAAATAGCGGAGGCATAGCGGAGCGTTTGTGAAACAAGAGTTGTCCGTTCGCTAAGTTCTCTGTTATTCCTACGTTCGCTAAATAGCGAACTGACAACTTAAGCGGAGAACTTTAGCGGACGTTAGTGAAACGCGACCCCAGTTCCGGATGCGTAGCCACTGTGAACATTTAAACCTCTTACCAATTCATTCATCTCTAAAAATATCGTTGTCGTGATACTGTGAATGTTTCTTTGTATTGCTTTTCGTGACCTCTTTTGTGCGCATTTATCTTCACAATTCTTCTTTTCAAAATTGTTACGATACAATAGTTCATTGTACTATGAATAGCTCATCAACTGATAAGACAATTGTAGATATTTTATGCATTGTAAGTAGCATATTCATAGCATTTCATAGCAAATGTCTATTGTACCCCACCCAATTCACAAAGGTTACTGATACCATCCTCATGCCTTCAAATGTTTCAGCACATATGCGAACACATTTGGGCCTAACAAACGTTTCACTACGCACGACTGAAATTTCGAGTTTATAAGCATAGCAACAGATCTCCGATGAGACCTGTCGCTCTCCGCACTTGTTTTTATTTTGTTTTATTTCATTTTGTTTTCTGTTTTAAATTTTCTTCTCCCCCTTTTTTGTGTACTTTAAAAAAAAATTCCCTGTTTCTCTTTAAAAAAACGTTTTCCTGTGAACGTGTTAATGCCTCTTCGCTACTCGCCACGGTTCGAGCGTCCCTTTATACGTCGGATAATCATGATTAAGTTCGACCTCCCGCCGACCTGCAGGTCTACACAGGGGTGCTCAGAGCAGCTCGACGATCGTGGACATCTACAAGAAGGCGGAGCTTGCGGTGGCGGCGAGGACGCACGAGAAGGACGAGGTCAAGGACACGGGCTTCGTGCCGGGCGACGCGCTCGGTGCTGCCGGTCTCGACTCCGCCATGTTCGCGTGAGTGCACAGATGATCGCGAATACATAGCCAATCGGTGTGGCGATAAAGTGTTCTAGAAACAAAGCTTAATAACGACGTGGGAGCTAGGAGGACACATGGAGGTTGGCGATGTGTATGTGTGTGCCCTGGTGCATGCATGTACGAGCTGGGTGACCGTGACAGACCTGTAAGGTATATCGAAGGGGCATGGTAATCCCGTTCGTGTGGATATGTCAATTAGTTTTATCTCCATATTAAAGTCGATCACACTTGACCCCGATGGTTGCATGTATCATGCAGCATTTTACGATGCATGTGCTGTACATTGTCGCGACGTGGAAGCATGAACTAAATAGAAATGTTAAGCTTGACATTGTTAAGATAAAGCACCATTGTTAAGATAAAGCACCATTGTTAAGATAAAGCACCATTGTTAAGATAAAGCACCCATTGTTAAGATAAAGCACCATTGTTAAGAGAGCCTTTAGCATGACTACCTTTTGATTATTAGTTACCTCCGCCAGGGGCTTGGCGGAAGTTATGTTTTCACCGGCGTGTCTTTGAGTGTTGGTTTGTGTGTTTGTGGGTTTGTGTGTTACCATGCACGTTTCAGTTCACTTCCGCTAGGTGCGCTGGCTGTAGACTTACAAACACACAACCACAGGCTAAGGGGCAAACACAGTCCTCCCCCACCTGCACGCTTGCACTAATCCGGATCCAATTAATTATTTAATTAATTATTTAA